GGGTTTAGGGTCTAGGGTTTAGGATGTCTGGGATTTTGGGGGATCGGTTGAGGGTTATCAAGGGTTCAGGGTTTAGGGTTTAGGGCTTCGGGGGCTTGGGTTTTTGTTAGGGTTCAGGGTTGGGGAGTTGGGCGTTAAGATTTCGAGTTCGGGGGTTCGGGTTCCTGAACCCTAAGCCCCAAGCCCCCAAGCCCCCCCCAAACCCCTAAACCCACACCCCATGCAAATTTCAAACCCTCATATCCCAAGTCGGAGGTTGCCATATACCTAAACCCTTGAACGCTTAAACTCTTAAACCCCTAAGTTGAAGTTGAAACCCTTAAGCCCCAAAACCCTTAAGCCCTTAGACCCCTTAAGCCCTTAAACCCTCAAGCTCTTCAGTCGCATGATTCTTAGATAAGCCCTGAAACCCTTAAACCCTGACACCCTGAAGTTAGATAATTCTCAGAGAAGCCCCAAAAGACCCTTAAGCGCTGAAACCCTTAGACCCTTACACCCTTAAGTCCCAAGCCGGAGGTTCCCAAATACCCTAAACCCCCAAAACCCTAAACCCTAAAGCCTTAAAGCCTTAAAGCCTTAATGCCTTGAAGCCTTAATGCCTTGCAGCCTTGAAGCCTTGAAGCCTTAAAGCCTTAAAGCCTTGAAGCCTTAAAGCCTTGAAGCCTTAATGCCTTAAAGCCTGAAAGCCCTAAGTCCCCAGCCGGAGGTTCCCAAATACCGGCACCCTCATGCTCGAGCGCAGTGCGCCGCCTCTGCCAGGGTCGGAGAGGCGCGCGGAAGGCTTTGTGAAAGGTTTGGAGGGTTTCCGGGGCTTTTAGTAGCTCTTATGGTGGTTTGGAAGGCTTGAGGTGTTTTCTATGAGGGTTGTTACAGAGTGTTTCATCGGGTTTTGTTTTTTTTTTGGTGCGTGTTTTTTGGTGTTTTTTAGGCGTTACAATAGTGTTTGTAAGGCTTATTAGAATAGGGCTTATAGTTTAATTGGGTTGAGGCCCTGTAGGTATCGGTGAGTAGAGTTTAGGGCCTCAGGGCGTTAGACTTTATGGGGTCCCCCATAACCCACCTTGCTAACCCTACTTGCAAAGTCAGAGGGGTTTGCATAGGTAGGGTCTGTGAGTTTTTGGTTATGCTGCAAGCGCTTCTGAAAGAGGTACTCGTACACGTGGTGAGGGTTGAGGGTTTCGGGTTTTTGGGAAAAGATCAACGCGCTCGTGGAGTGCGAATGGACCAAGGCCGTGCAGTAGGACAAGGATGCGACCCCCATGAAAGCACCCGTAAGAATGGTATTTTTCTCCAGCACATGTTGACTGGCGGCCATGATTTATGGGCAATTAAGTGATGTGAGGGTCGAGGTAGAGAACGACCCCGACTCAGCCCTGACTTGGAGGTTCATGGTACTTATTAACCCAATAATAAATGGGTTGCGGTGCTTAAAGCCCAGTTTTAATGAGGGCACGTAAGGCGCTTATAAGTGGGTTATAAGTACAGCTATCCTAAACCCTAAACCCTAAACCCTAAACCCTAAACCCTGAACCTCTACTTGGCTATTAAGAACCATGAACCTCCAAGTAGACTCAGCAGCCAGGCTGACGATTGCGGCCCCGAGTGAGCGGCCGCCAAGCGATGCGGGCAGCAGGACCTCCGAAGCCCTAAACCCTAAACCCGAAACCCTAAACCCTAAACCCTAAACCCTAATTCTAAACCCTAAACCCTAAACCCCTTGTTTTCTCCGGTTTTCGGTAGTGAGGGTTTTTTTTGGGCTTGTGGTATGGGACTTGACTTTGACGTGCGGGGCTTAGGAATGCTAGGGTGCTTGGGTTTAGGGTTTAGGGGCTTAGGGGATTAGGGGTTTAGTAAAGGGGTTTGGGGGTTTAGGGGTTTAGGGTTTAGGGTTCAGGGTTCAGGGTTTAGAGTTTAGAGTACAACCCTAAACCCGAGATCAGGCAGTGCACAAGTCCGACGATCCTATTCACATGTTTCGGCCCCTCAGTCGCCATGAGAACTCTCAGAGACTCCACTAGCCCCTGCTTAATGAAGAAGTTGTCCTTCAATCATACCAATACTGGCCTTCCTACTATATACCCCTAAGGCAACCCTAAATCCTATAAGCCCGAAGCCCAAAACCCTAAACCTTAAATCCTAAATCCCATAAGCCCTAAACCCTAAACCCTAAATCCTGTAAGCCCTAAACCCTCCGATGTGACGAGGAGGTCGAACGTCAGCAAGGCATCCAGTAGGCGCTCGCAGGCTTGGGCGGGAATGCAAGGAAACTGCCAAGTTTAGGGTTTAGGGTTTAGGGTTTAGGGTGGCTTAGGGTTTAGGGTTTAGGGTTTAGGGTTCAACACCCCGTTTCAACCAAGGACGGCTCCCTTGCCTTTTCAAGGGTCCTACCATGATCCTCATTCAGGTATAAGTTCTGGAACAGGTTTTGGTGAACAGCTGTCACATGCACCCTAAACCCTAAACCCTAAACCCTAAACCCTAAACCCTAAACCCTAAACCCTAAACCCTAAACCCCAAACCCTAAACCCTAAACCCTAAACCCTTACCGTGACAGCACTCGCCAAGCCCTATAATCCCTTAACGCTGAAGCACTAAACCCTAAACCCGAAAGCCCCTGGAGCCTCGACGCAGAATTGAGGCTGCATGTAATGTAGCCTTCACCCTTCGCAAGCCCTGAAGCCCCAAATCTCCTAAACCCTGAACCCCTTAACCCTGATATTCCTAAACTCTGAATCCTCAACCCTCAGCCCTAAACTTTAATAACTGAGAACCCTAGCCCTGAAAACCCTGAAAACCCTAAACGCGAAGCCCTGAAATCTTAACGCCCCTCCACCCTAAACCCTGGCCCCTAAACCCTAAACCCTAGCCCTAAACCCTAAACCCTAAAGTTAAGAGCCTCCGGCTCAAGCCGCCGACCCCGCTGGAGCATAGTTGAGACCCGCTCGCATGGAAGATCATCCCCGGCAGAGTTCTGTGAATCGTTTGGGGGGGGGTAGGGGGTAGCACCAGGACAAGCTCAAGCCAAAAAGACAGGTGGGGGGGGAGGGGGTGGGGGGGGGGGGGGGGGGGGGGGGGGGGGGGGGGGGGGGGGGGGGGGGGGGGGGGGGGGGGGGGGGGGGGGGGGGGTGTGTGGGGGGGGGGGGGGGGGGGGGGGGGGGGGGGGGGGGGGGGGGGGGGGGGGGGGGGGGGGGGGGGGGGGGGGGGGGGGTGGAGGCGGGAAACGCTGATTTTGCTGAGGGCGCCCCTACCCCCCCGTGCTGAACCCCCTGTTTACGCTGTGCGGGTGGCGCGGTCCTCCACGAAAAAATTGTGCACCGACCCCCCCCACCCCCCCCGCGTTTTGGGTCCAACACGCCGCCAGGGTCGGCGGACACCCTAAAACTTAAACCCTAGCCCTAAACCCTAAACCCTAAACACCCTAAACCCTAAACCTCCTAAAGTGCGGAGGCCTCCCAGGTCTCAAGAGCCAGCTCACAGCCCAGCTGGGCCCGTCGAACGGCGACGCAGCAGAGGCCTAAGGGGCTTTAAGTCATGGGTTTAGGGTTTATAGGGTTTAGGGTTTAGAGCTTGAAGGGTTAGAGGAATTTAAGGGCTTGGGGCTTGTTGGCGTTTTGGATTTAAGGTGTAGGGCTTCGAGGGTTTAGGGTTTTTGGGTCGTTTAACTTAAAGGGCTTGGAGGGCGTTCAGATCTTTCATGGGTTTGGTGGGTTTGGCAGGTTTAGCGGGTTTCAGCGGGCTGCAAAAAAGCAGTGACTGCGGAGCTTGCAAGAAGAAGCGGAGCACGGGCTCCAGAACAGAGGCACACAAGATTCTGTTCTTGGGCTGCAATGCAAGTTTAGGGTTTAGGGTTTAGGGTTTAGGGTTTAGGGTTTAGGGTTTAGGGTTTTTCCCGTTGTATCCTATGGAGGGCGAAACTTGCGGCAGTAGCTGCAAAGCATCCAGGGGTTTCGGGTTTAGGGGGTTTGCGGGTCGTTTAAGGGGCTTGAGGAGCATAAGGAGTTGTACGGGTCACAAGGGCTTTTGGGGTGTTAAGGAAGGGCTTCGTGGCGTTTTGGGGTTGAGGGGTTGGAGTTCAGAGTTTATTGGGGGGTCGCCTAAACCCTAAACCCTAAACCCTAAACCCTAAACCCTAAACCCTAAACCCTAAACCCTAAACCCTAAACCTGTGGGCTGGGCTTCGAGGACCCTGTGGCACCCGGTTTCCTTTTGCTCCCTAAGAGGGTACCCAGGCAAAAGGGGAGGTAGTGACACGGTCCCTAAGTATGGGCCCTTACTCCAGAACCCTTTGAAGAAGGTCAGGGACCATTCTAAGGGACCATGTAACTGTACAGCTCGTTGTCGACCCGCATCCAATCAGGCTGCTAGACTGAATCTTCCACACCTTACAACTGGAACCCTAAACCCTGAACCCCACAACCCTGAATTCTTCTCAGGTAAGCCCTCAAACCCTCAAGCCTTGAAACCCTTAAACCCTTAACCCTTAAACCCTTAAACCCTTAAACCCTTAAACCCTTAAACCCTTAAGCCGGAGGTTCCCAAATACCCCAAACCCTATCGCCAAAACCCGAAAATCCTAGCCTGACACGATTGAACGTGAACCTAGGTTGAAGTTTACGGGCCACTTAGACCTCGACCGGGCCTCTACTCCTTTTGCTTCGGGATGAGGTTCCTTTAGGGTTTAGGGTGTGGGGTTTGGGGTTTAGGGATGTGCGCCACGCCTTAGTTGTGGGGTGAAATGCAATGGAAGGCTCCCATGCGTTCATCCCCTCAGAATTCAATTCCCTGTAGTAAGCCCTAAGCCCTAAGCCCTAAGCCCTAAGCCTCAAACTTCCCTCAACCCTGCAAACCATGCATCCCAAACCCCGAGCACTAAACTCTGAACTCCTCACCCCAAACCCGCAAACTCCAAACTCCCACCCTAAAACCCTAAAACCCCCAAGCCCCAAACCGCTGGACAGGGCCCAGGGCTGGAATTTCGACGCGCTGCCCTTCTACGAAAGGAGCGGGGTTTTGGGTTTAGGGTTTTAGGCTTCCCCCCCCCCCACCACCACCATCACGGGCTCAAGCGAACTGGTAAGCGTAAGGAAGTATTTTAGGGTTTTCAGGTTTAGGGTTTTGCCGGGGGTCCTCCTTATACCCTTAAGTTTAGGGTTTAGGGGACGCTGGTTTGCGGAATTTAGAGTGGGGAATTTGCCTCCCCTTCAGTAGGAACAGGGACCACAGGAACCTGATATCGTTTTCAAACTGTTGCATCTTAGGCTAGATGAGGGGGTTTCCGAAATTGGGTTTAGGGTTTGGGAGTTTAGGGTTTCATGTCCGCATAACATGGATGAGACTCGATTTGGGGGATGGGGGGGGGGGGTGGGGGGCTCTCATTGATGCAATGGTGGAAACGCTACCATGTGGTTTAGGCGGCTTGGGTGCGGCAAAATCTTGCCGTCTGGGGTTTAGGGAAGGGTCCCCCGCGGCAGACCTCTCCAACTCCCCAGACCTTTCCGAGATGTCATGGAGTAAGCCCTGAGCCTCCAAAGGGCGAAACTACGGCCCCTCTTACAGGCGGTAGCTTTGTCAAATAGGATCCTTCATTTGAACTAAAAAACTCACAAAGGTCGCCAAAGCTATGAAAGCTAGGCCCCAATCTCACGAAGCAGATGCTCAGTTTGAAAAGGCGTACCTGCTGTCCTGAACCCTAATACCCTAAATTACAAACCCTAATCCCAAACCCTCTACCCTTAACCCTAAAGCAGAAAACCCTAAACCCACCCACGCACGCCCTACCCCGAAAGCCCGTAAATCCCTACAAGGTAGAAGCCCTGGGCCCTCCCCGACCCGACCCCGCAAAACCCTAATCCCCAAAGCTCCCAACCCCGAAAGCCCCAAACCCATGAGGCACGAAGCCCCGAAACCCCCGAAACCCCTAAACCCTGCACCCTAAGCCCTAAACCCTAACCCCTAAGCCCTAAACCCTAAACCCTAAACCCTAAACTCCTAAGCCCTAAACCCTAAACCCTAAAGCCTAAACCCTAAACCCTTGCTTTGCACCTGCGGCCCTTGCTGGCGGGTTCATTTGACACCGGCTGTGGCTGTTTTTTTTGCCCAGGAGTTTAGGGCTCTAGGGATTATTAGGGTGTAGGGTTTAGGGTTTAGGGTTTAGGGTTTAGGGTTTAGGGTGCTTAGTATGTAGGGTTTTAGGGCTTTCGGGGCCATAGGGTTTTAGGGCTTTCGGGGCTATAGGGTTTCAGGGTTGAAGCTTAGGTGCGTGGGGCTTTAGGGATATCGGGTTCAGGCTTTGCAGGGTTGTAAAGGGGCTTTTTCGGGTTGAGCCTGTACTGTCGTGTACTTTAGTTGCCTGAGTACAGAAACAAACCTTGAGGTAAGCCACTCTAACCCCTAAAGCCCACACCCTCAACCGAACTCGACATACTTGCCCTAAACCCTACAGCCATGGCGGCCTGGCCCAACATTGACTGCCTGGAGCACGACGTGCATCGCCTGACAGGGTTTAGGGTTTAGGGTTTAAGGTTTAGGGTTTAGGATTCAGGGTTCAGGGCACCTGCCGTTTCAGTTTTTGGGGGCTTCGGGCTCGGGTTTATGGAAGGGCAGTTGCTGGTCCCTTCCTATGGGCGCTTAGTAGGGGGCCCCTTATTATATACCCCTCATATGCCCTATATAAATTAAGGGGCCAGACATCAGAATCCTTAAAGGGGCTGGGGACCATATCGAGGGGCCCATGAAACTTCCCTTCGACTTAAGGGCGTGGGGCTAAAGGGGGGTATCTAACCCAAGAGGGATCAAGGGGGGAGGGGGGGTATAGGATTTAGGGTATGTAACCCCAGGTTCCTTATCCTCCCTAACTGCCCTTTGAGCTATAGGATTTAGGGATTGCAACCCTAGGTTCCTTATCCTCCCCACTACTGCAACTGCCCTTAGAGCTATAGGATTTAGGATATGTAACCCCAGGTTCCTTATCCTCCCCACTACTGTAACTGCCCTTGGAGCAAAAGGATTTACCCTAAACCCTAAACCCTAAACCCTAAACCCTAACCCCTAAACCCTAAACCCGAAATCCTAAACCCTAAGCCCTGAACCCCAGGTTCCTTATCCTCCCCACTACTGCTCTAAGAGCCCTTGGAGCTTATGGCAGCGGAGGTTTGGTTCGACGTTTGCCCGACCGCCTCTGAGCAGCGCCCGGGCAACGGGGACTACTGGTCCTGGCCGCACCTGGGCATAAGTCCCCCGAAAACCTAAACCCTAATCCCTAATCCCTAAACCCTAGACCCTAAACCCTAAACCCCAGTAAACTTGCAAACGCCCCGAAGCACCAACTTGGGATGTCGCCCCCTCCACTTATCAGCAAGAGTCTGAAGGGTTTAGGGTTTCGGCCTTAATGGGATTAAGGGTTTAAAGGTTCTCCCGGCCTCCCCCCTAAACCCTAAACCCTGAACCCTAAACCCCAAACCCTAAACCCTAAACCCTAAACCGTAAACCCTAAACCCTAAACCCTAAACCCTAGACCCTAAACCTTCCCTAGGCACATGGACAACAAGAAAATCTGGAAGCAATGCATGCATCGACCTGCTCAGCTGGCAGCGCAGTGGCTCGCTTAGGGTTTAGGTTCAGGGTTTAGGGTTTAGGGTTTAAGAGTTCAGGGTTCAGGGTTTAGGGTTTAGGGTTTAGGGTTTCAGGGATCAGGGTTTAGGGTTAGGGTTTAGGGTTTAGGGTGAGGGCTTCGTCTGCGGGAGTCCCTGGAGAGAGAGGCACGGGTTTTGGGGCGTAAGGTCTTGGCAGTCATAAGCTTACAGCAAGGGTCCATGTACCTTACCCTAAACCCTAAAACCTAAACCCTAAACCCTCAACCCTAAACCCTAAACCCTAAACCCTAAACCCTAACTATACTTGGGCCCCCAGAGTCCCTAGATAGGAAATACTTGAAGGGTCAAAGCATTCCTTATCTAGGTACATGGACCCTTAGGGAGTGTTCAGGGTTGTAGGTGCCCTAAACCCTAAACCCTAGACCCTAAACCCTAAACCCTAAACCCTAAACCCTAAACCCTAGACCCTAAACCCTAAACCCTAAACCGTTTTCTGCTTTCGGGTTCATCACCGGGCCTCTCCACTACCAGGCTCCTCTTGAAGCTCAGGGTTTAGGGTTTCAACCACCCACGCGCCCCCTCCCCTTCCCCCGCATCTCACATTCGTTGCAACTTCCCTGGCCACCCTAAACCCTAAACCCTAAACCCTAAACCCTAAACCCCAAACCCTAAACCCTAAACCCTAAACCCTAAACCCCAAACCCTAAACCCTAAACCCTAAACCTTAGGGTTTAAAACCCAAACCCCAAACCCTGACTTCCCCAGAACCTCTCGGTTGAGGGCTTCCTCTACATGAGCACGGCCTTCAATCCTCGAGGTTTAGGGCTTATAGGGTTCCTAGCTAGGCCCTGGGAGTATTTTGTATTTCCCCTTATTGGGTTTAAGAGGATCATATTCAGGAATATTTTTCAGAGTTTTTCTGTGACGATCCTGGGTTTTGAGAGGGTTTAGGGTTAGGGTTCAGGGTTAGGGTTTATGGTTGAGGGCTTAGGGTTAAGGGTGTGAAAAGGGTTTACATTCTCGGTCCCGCATGCACGGAGTGCTGAGGTCTGTCTGTCGTCAACAGGGCTGTGTGGAGGATTGCCTGGTGTGTGGACATCTCCAAGGCCGGGCCCTTAAGCGTGAACCCTAACTTTCGGGGGTTTAGGCTTGTTTAGGATTTAGGGTTTAACCCAGACGGTGTTTCGGAAAGTCATGATACCCCACAAGGGCTCCTAATCCAATGTCGAACGGCCATATTTTCCCTCACTGGGTTTAAGTGGGTGTTTACGAGAATAAAGGAGCCCGAATATAGATCCCCAAATAGTAGCATCCCCTTACAAAAGATACCCCAATAAGGTACCCGAATATCGTAAACCCCCAAGTGGATCTTAATTTGTTGAAGGGCCTAAACCCTAAACCCTAAACCCTAAACCCTAAACCCTAAACCCTAAACCCTAAACCCTAAACCCTAAACCCTAAACCCTAAACCCTAAACCCTAAACCCTAAACCCAGCCGGCATGGGTTGCGCGGCACCTCCGCAGACTTCCTCAACCTTGGGTGGCATGGGCCGCTGGGTTAAGGCACAGTAACCTGTACCTCGGGTTAAGGGTTTAGGGTTTAGGAGTCCTTGATAGGAACTATAGTACCCCATATTAAAAATCCCTCTTAAGGACTGTCAGTATAGGGGTGAGCATCCCAATACCAAGTCAACATGATGCAACCTCCCTTTTCTAAGGTAAGGCTAGCAAGGTTACTGTCGGTAAAGCTTGAACTCTTCACCCTTAACTTGGGACGTTCCCCGTATACTATAGGAGTCCTTAACAGGGAAAATAGTAGGGGGTACCATCATCCCGGTTAAGGACTGTTAGTATAAAGGGGGAACATCTTAACCCTAAACCCCGAAACCCGAGACCCCGGCTCACGCGTTGAAGGTGAGAGCTTTGCCGACCACGTCGCCAGCGCCAACCACTACAACAACTTTTCCTACAAATGTCCTCCGGTCAAGGCGCCGGCATTCTGAGCCCTACAACCCTATAAGTCCTAAACTCTAATCCCCCCTAAACCCTAAACCCTAGAACTCTAGCCGTAAAACCCTAAAATTCTAGACCCTGGACTCGCCCCAAGCCCTGGTCGAGGGAGGCTTGGAGTACTTGATACTTTCCCTGGAGGATCATGTTTTATCAGATGTAAGTAGTTCCAGTAACCCTAAACCCTAAACCCTAAACCCTTAACCCTAAACCCTAAACCCTAAACCCTAAACCCTGAACCCTTCCTGGATTTAAGAGGATCATATGGGTAGTTCTCTAAAGCAGGGTTGCAGGGGTAACCCAAAACCCGAAACCCGAAACCCTAAACCCTAAAGTTCATTTTTCTTCTATGGGGGTGGTTTAGGGTTCAGGTTTAGGGTTTGGGGTTTGGGGGCGGG